ACTTACTCCATTCTTCAGTCTTTTCTCATGGCATACAACTCCAGACATAGGCCATTTAGCTCTTTTTCCCCACAGTTTTTCTTAATATATCCCACTGTAACTGATATATTTAACAGACAGTTGTAGAAGAAACAGGTTTTCAATTGCTGAGACTTTTCTGTCTGTGTTTCTTAGGATTTCTGTTACTGTACAGATACCTAAATACCATGTGGTAATTCAGACATGAACTAATTTTTTCTTTTTACCACAGTTCTCTTTTTAGTGATAGCATTGTAGTACATGTTCCTGGTGAAAATCTGCTATCACACTGAAAGCTTGTGTTTGGGAACCTCTGCATTTTTACTATGAATATTTTCTATACATATATTTGCCTTTCAGTATCATGATTATACACGAATGCTATGTAAATTTAGTGACCCTGTAAATTTACTGGTTACTTAAGTCATATAATTAATGCCTGATAGTAAGTTTAGACTAACTAACCTGTTGAAATGGCTATGCTGAGGTTTTGGATGTGGTCTAGGCTGTTGTCATGGGAAGAACAGGGACTGCATCATTAGTTGGAGCTATCTTGCATATTATGATACTACCAGTCCCAGGTTATGAATGTTTCCCACTTAGGTTTTTTGCTAACCTTCTCGCCAAAATGGTCCAACCTTTGTCTCATTAGACCAGTTTCTGAACACTTCTACCATAGATAGTGCTTAGAAATAAAGGAGCAGATAATGACTAAATATTTGCTAGTTCAGTGCAAGGGGAAAAAGAAGGAGCTAGAGCTCTTGGTTAAACAAAAATCATATAGAAAAAATAGCCATAAGCTTGTTAAAGAATACACTTACAGTGAATTTTTATGCCAAACCAAAGAAACCAAAAGAACTTCTGTAAACCATTGTTTTGCAAAATTATTTTTGCTGGGACAAGCTGCTGAAAACAGTGAATAGCTTCAGCTAAGAGAAGGTTTACAAACCTTTATATAATATGATGTATATTCTCAGTGCTCATATTTGGAGCTGTGTTCAAGTCAATGCTTCACTGCTATGTGTGACTTCTAATTACATCTGTTCTTGTATTCTCAGTGTTACTAAACTTGTAGCAAGTTCGTCCTGTTCAGCTTTGACCTGCAGCCTGCTCACTTGCAGGTTGATTAACATGAAGGCAATACTCAAGTTTTTTTAGAATGAATGGAAGATGGCAGCATGCTGCAGAAAATTGTGTTTTAGAGTCAAATTTTAATCAATCATATAGTTGCAAGGTATCAATGCTGTATGTGACAATAGGACACAGTATGTTACAGTTTTCAATAATATTTATATCAAATCCAGCAGGAAGAATAGAAATGGCAACTTTTTTTAAAAAAAACCAAACAAACAGTAGTAAGGTTTCATTTGTTGTGTACAAACTCCTAGGCACATAGTAGTGAAACTTGAGGTGCAGAGTCCCCCTTACCTCCTCATCATTGTTGTTGATATATCCAACATTCTATGTCTTAAAATGAACTAGAATTAAAGAATATAACACAGCAAGGGTATTGCATTGCCTATTTCAAGTTGTTCAGTTAATAGGCTTCTTAATTTCATTTAAAAGAAAATAAGCATATGTTTACATGTGTCTCTCTGTATGAGGATTTATTGAAAGAGTCCTGAGAATTTATGGGAGATCACTGACATCTGTTAACAAAATAAGCTTAAAAATTCAAACAGTAAATTAAATTGTGGCATAGCATAAAGATGCATTAGAGGTTAAGATAAAATCTCTGAAATGGGTAGTAAAAGCTGTTTACATATAGTCAGGTCTATATGCAAAAGTGCAGTAAGTAGTTTTATTAGCTCTGAAACATACAAGAAAGATGATGACAAACTTTTTAGCAGGGCCTGTTGCAATAGGACAAGGGGTAATGGTTTTAAACTAAAAGAGAGTTGATTTAGACTAAATAGAAGAAATTTTTTACAATGAGGATGGTGAAACACTGGAACAGGTTGCCAGAGAGGTGGTAGATGCCCAATCCCTGGAAACATTCAAGGTCAGGTTGGATGGGACTTTGAGCAGCCTAATCTAGTTGAAGATGTCCCTGCTCATTGCAAGTGGTTGAACTAGATGACCTTCAAAGGTCCTTTCCAACCCAACTATTCTGTGATTCTATGATACCTTTCTATAAAATTGTCTTGAACTCATCTGGAATTAGAAATTATCTAGTACTAGCAGTTTAGTGTAAGTGTTGTAATTCATCACTAGCTCATAAACTCATGAACTTGTATGGAAACACTTCTGAAATAACTGTTCCATAACTGCTTTAATCCTTGATGAAGAATGTGCTGATTTTAATTCATGTATTTTAGCAGGTGTTTTATATTTTCCAACTTTGTAGATAAAAAATAAATACTGAATATTGACACTTCTAATTTAATGAGTATTATAATCCTTTTTTGAAGGAAGTAGCCTCAAAGAAAATGAGCAGTGATTTAATGAGGGTAATACTTTTGTAACTTGGTCAACTACAATTAATTTAGTAATGTTATTTCCTTAGCAGAGCCAGAAATCTGTGTAGAGCTTGTCTTACATTCATGTTCTAAACCAGCAATCTTGGCAGTGTACTGCTAACAGCATCTAGTTACTACTTTGAATACAGAGCCTTTCAAAGTGCAGATGTATTTACCAAACTATTTGAAACTTCAGCACTGCTGCTAATCCGTATTTATATACCTGAATTTTTAAAAGATCAAATGTTAAGAGGTGCTTAGTATTTGGAAAGCAAAATGCCTTACCTTCCTCTAATATTGCAATCAGGTGTCTAATGTGAGACACTAAAGGTTGAAAAATATGACTAATATTCCACATAGCTGTCCATAAATAATACCACTCTTACTGTGTGCATTTGGATTGCTCATTACTTTATGAAGTTATACATGAAAAATGTGAACATGCAGTATGTTAAGAATTTGTCTGCTTATGCTGCATCCCTTTCAAAAATACAGTATTTGATATTAAGTATTCTACTGGTGAAACAGTAATGACATGCAAGGTGAGTAGACCTTATATTTGTTATGCCTATGACAATTTTTTCCAGGATTTAGGTGAGATTACATTTATATGCTGGTTTGAAACTACATATTCTTTTAAGATTTAGGCACTGATACTGTTGGCAGATCAGAAGGGAGCTGTCAAAAGACTTGGAATCATATTAAAACTATAAGGCCTATGTTATATGTGCACACTTTGCATATGGCGTACAGCTTTTAAACAAGGTAGTGTTGCTACATAGGTGCTTCTCAGAGTTGGACACAGAGCAGGATTTGCAATGCCAGTCATGTGCATATATGTATGACTACTGAAAAAAGTTCTGCTGTACAAGAATCCTTCATTATGTTGTGCAGTCTGCCTTTAAAATAGGTATTTTAAAGAGCAGCAGTTATTCAGTGAATTTGGTAAATTTTAAGTCTTTGGCTTGATTTTTTTATTTTTAAATTTTATGCAACACCAGATTTTTGACAATTCCAGACTACAGGTTCATCCATTAAGATTTTTAGAAACAATTTTCAAAGCCAGTATTGAAATCAGTGTAAGTTTTTCTTGTGCCCTATCTACCAGTTTCTGAAAGATAGTACTCTTAGCCACCTGTATTATATGCAGATGGTTTATGGAATAGATGTATAAAGATACTGAAGAATGTAAGTCTGTTTCCTAAGAAAGCTTACATCTGCCCACATGTCATCAGAAATTTGGACAGCTTTATCTCCTGAAAATATATAGGCTTTATGGTCTTCAGAAAATTTATTTCTAAAGAAGATAGGACTACTTCTTTAGCTGATAACTACAGAATGGAAGTTTATGTTCTGAGCACTTATCGTTCAGGACTAGGCCATCAGTTGGTGTTAATTAGTATTGCCCTGCTGACTTCAGTAATTGTTATATGACATTGGAGATGCAGACATTAGAAGATGCTGGGGGATAAGCTTAAGTACAAAGTTTACTGTACCAGAAGAGTAATACAGAACTAATAGAATACTATTTATATTAGCAATATAATAACATGCAAATGTTTTGATGGACCTAGTTCTGACATTGCTTCTTAGCATCCTTCACCTCAACAGAACAGAGACAATGTTGTGTCAGGACACTTATTAGGGGCATACTTGCTACAGGTTAATTCACTGAGGTTGTTGTGGAGGTAATTTGTTTCAATTGAATCATATTGGATACTGAAATCACAATTTCTGAATTGCATTTTGTCACCTGCATTCAGTGCTGCCCATGGAGAATGCTGCCTGTATGGTTACATATATATATATGTATTTATATAACTGAGGTAAAAAAACACTGAACACAAAGGCCTCATGAGACCTTTCTCAAGCCTAGGAAAAAAAGGTACTGAAAAATTAAACAAGGTTTGAAAATGAGACATCAAGGGAAAGATTAATACTTTTTTCCAAAGATTTCATTTCTAAATGAAATGAAAATACTAAATTTAAAAACTTCTCATCAGCTGCACTGAGAATACCAAAAAACAAAATAACAAAAATGCATTTAATGTGTGGTAAAGTTAATTTGAAATCATACTTAAATACTGTATTGTAAAAAACCTGCAATGACTAACCTATATAAATTATACCTTAATTGGCTAACATAGCTTCCTTTAAGAGTGTGAGCTGTTGATAACATGATGATAAATGAACACAAATGGTGTAGAAAGCATACTGTTATGAGTAAGTGGTACTCTAGTCAATGCATTTTAAAGCATGATGACATGGTTTTCAAATGTCCATGGAACTTTTTTTTTCTCACAGCATTATGTACATTTAGGGCTTAAAAAAAAATTGTGTTATGAGTGTCCAAGTTGAGTATAATGCTATATGTTATCAGACCTATTATCACTGGTACTTTTTTCTCACATGAAATTGAAATGGGCTTGCATATTCATTTTCAGCTTTCCCTTCATGCACACATCTTTCTGAGTTAATGTTTCATATTTATTTTTATTTTTCCATTAATTTTTTCCTCTTCAGGTGCAATCTAGCTCCTGTGGTGGAGTTTGCTGCCGATGTGGGAACTAAATCTGATTTTATTACCATGAACCCATCAGTTGTACAAAGAGCATTTGGAGGCTTTCGGAATGAGAGTGACAGAGAAAAATTTGTGCATAGGCTATCCATGCTGACTGACAGTGTCCTTTGGATCCCTGCTTTCATGGTCAAAGGTGGAGAGAAGCATGTGGAGTGGGTTAATACATTAATCCTTAAGAATAAATTGAAAGTGCGAACCGCCTATCCATCACTGAGACTTATTCATGCTGTCAGAGGGTAAGTGTCTGGAAAACACTGGTCTGTCCTTGGCATAATGAAGCTCCTAGCTAGAATTTCTAGCAGGCATCAAAAAGCTCAAGTAAAATGTTAAAAGTAGTATGATATTTCCATTATTGTTATAATGGATTGCATTTATGATAAAATAAGTTTGGTAATAAATGTCACTCATTTAGCCTACGCTAATGGAAACAACTGCATTAGCACAATAACTTTTCACTTTCAATTTTATGTACAAAAATTATTTATGATCATTATAGTGAAAGATTGATGAAAAAATAGTCTGAATTCAAATGATACCTGTGAGTCATCAAATAAGAGGACAATGAAAGTGCTACATGTCTTCTTTTGGGCAAGACTGTGGAGATAAAAAAATAGAAGTTAAATAGCATAGGGGTTGAGGTAACAACCATGTAAATAATGAGGTCTGGAAGATCTGAAAATAATGAGTTCCTTCCTAAAACATCTAGGACTTTGTAGCAATCTTTCCCCTTTTGAATTTGTTCAGATGCTTGGCCAATTCAAAAACACTTATCAGAATCACTGTAAACAAGAATATAACTAGTCATTAAAAAAAAAAATGCATCCATGCTTTGTGCAGAGACTTTTTTTTTTTAACAGCATGATTAAACAGGACTGTCAGATGAAGGCTCCAATGTCATTGTCACTGCAAGTGAGAGTATATAGGGCTATGCATGAAAACTGTTCAGAAGATGGTAGTGCAACATTTATTTGTGCCCTGAATTATGACAGCATGACAATATTGAGTTCCTTGAACTGTGCTGTCTGTAGGGTTTTGGGAAATGTCTTAAAGTATTGGTATTGTCTTTTACACCAGTTACTGATTATGTATCTGCCTACAAATTTGTTACTGTTACAGCAGCAGGGATAAGATCAGAGGGGATGTTGGAATTGTTACCCTAATGACAGAATTGTCACCCATATGACAGTATGAGAATAAAGTTTAGAAATGTGTTGTTCTCCACAATATCATGTCTTCTGAATATGCTTTTCTCCTTCTGTGATGTATCTTCATGTGGTACATGATATTCTGTGATAATCTTCATGTGGTACACTTCTGGCACTGGAAAAAAAATCCAATCCCTTTGGAATGTGTAAAACCTTTGGAAATACTTAATATTTTACTGAGTTGCTCAGTTTCCATAGTTGTTTCATTATACAGTAACAATTTAGCTATTTATGGGCCTTGATTGTGTTTGAATTTTCAAGTATTCAAAATGCCTTTAAAACATGAATAGGTGTAGTTGGTTTTGTGTGTATATATAAATTAAATAAATAAGATTACTTCCAGTTTACAAACAGCTGTTCTCATTTCCACCTGTTAAATCTGAGCAAAACTAACAAATGTGAATGGCAATTCAGACTGTGCAGCCTTTTCAGTTGATCAACTTGAGAGGGCTGTGTCTTAAAAAAAGAATTAGCACCTACATTGTCTCTGAAAGAAAGGCTGATAAAGCTCAGCCATCAGAATTGGTGTTGAAGATTTAGACTATACTATATTTCAGATTATACCTAGCAGTATTATCTGATATGACTGCACAAATTTGTCAGGTTGTGGCATCTGTGTGCTAAACCTTGAGTCCTCCACTTCAAACGATTAATCATCTCACTTTCCCGTTTTGTTCTTGTGAGAAGTAATCAAATACCATCAAGTACTCTTTACTGTTCTTTTTTGTAAGCTGAATAAGAACAAGACACAAAGTTAAATTTATCTTTGGTCTAAGTCTTGAATTTATGAAGTGAGGTGCATGAGGTGAATATGTCTTAGTTAAGTTTGGAAGTGATACTGTTAGCAGTAATACATATGGAACAAGCATTCTTTAGATTTCTCAAACGGCTGTCTTAAAACACCAGCCCATAATGATGAGGTTTGTATTGCAGCAAAGTTGAATCTAGGGAAAGAATATCATCTTTTTAGAGGCTGAATTACATCTATCTAAGTTCTGTTAGGTTCATATGTCAAATGGAATATACCATGGTAGTATGAGAAATTAATAAGCAAAAACTGTTCTTAAATTAAAACGTGCCTGAGTTAAAAATTACTATTTTCTAGAAATAAATAAAGTACTTGAAAAATAAAATAAAATTTAAAGCTCCATAACCTGATTATCAAATCAATCCATTTTGAGCGGTAAGACTTGTGAAAGTTAAGCAAGTTACAGCTCCTAACTTGAGTTTGAAAGTAATGGACATCTAAGTCTGTTGCCATTTAAAACAATGTGTACAACTTATGTACTTACTTTTAAGGAAATTCTTCATAATACTGTATTCTATCTATTGTGTTCATGTTTATTTCAAATTCAATGTAAACTGATGATTTATGAGCCCCTGAAGAGACACTACCTAAAAGGAAGTCCTACAAAGCACTCCTTGTTTTATGAATCTGAATTATTTTTGTGTGTGTATTTTGACATATCTGTTGTTTTTGCAAGCTCTCTGCTTGCAAGTTTTAAGTCTTTGTGACCATGTTAATAGTTAGGTACCCTAGGGAGGCCTGTGGTGCTGTAAAACATAAAGGATAAAATATGTGAAGATAGCTGTTAGATGTGGCACAAAACGAAGAAATTGTCCCATAAAACCTCCTTGTTAAAACACACAGTAAGGTCTGTGCAGAGCAACTAATCCCTTTAATTGAGTGCCTAAGCAGATGTGCAAGACCGATGAAATGCAAGGAATATGCTATGTCTTTTAACCTCGTAAGCCTAAGAGGGAGATGAATTTTTAGATTTATTGATGAAAGGATGATGAGGAAAGCTGAACTGCAAGAAACAGGTTTTGTAGCCTGTCTTAGGTTATGCAAGAAAATGACTTGTATCTGCAACCTTTCTTTTGTAGACTTTTGAGCATTCTCAAATATTTGTATCTTTGTGCTCGAATGTAGCTCACTTATTTTCATTAAAGGCAACAAAAGTTCAGAGCAGACTCATGGGAGTGTAGCATTTGCAGTCACTGTCCCATATTAATATTTTTAACATCTCCATAGTTCCCTTAATGTCCATACAATTCACTACTTCTGTTTCCATTTCTTGTCTTGATAATTCCAAAGCATTCTGGCTCTACTTTTATTTGAGTATGCACATTTTTCATTAAATAATAACATGAAGGTAGGTAGAGCTGTTTTAAATTAGACTTTAATTACAAGAGAATCAGTCAAGAATTCTTTTATGTGGGTCTTAGGTTGTTTTTTTTTTTCTATCTTAAAACCTTCCCACATTCATAACAACTTAAACACGATGAGATTTTTGTTATACTATTCCAGAGACATATCAGGAGGGTATACTGAAGAACTGTCCCCAACTTGAAAGCATATTCTTACAGAGATGAATAAAAGGTGCAATTTTATGTTTTATTAAGCTGTTTTGGAAGACTTAGGCATCCATGCTGTTTTTTTTCTGTACCACAGATACACCTGTAGATATGGTATATCACAGGGCTATACCATAATTTGTATCACTCAGCTGGTTGAAATGAGGCTTTTATTTGAAACTTTTATGTACTGCAACTACACATCTTCATAATCTAAAAATATAAAACACTCAGCCACAGGCATGAAAACTGCCTAAAAAGAGAAGATGTCTATCCTAAAAAGTTAGAATTCTAAAGTCTTTTTTTTTTTTTTTTCTCTATTTTTTAAGAAGAACAACAAATAAATTCTCAGGTAAACTTGGGAGTTCTTTGATTTAATATGCGTAAAATCTTATTAAAAATATGTAAATATAGTGTATTATGGGCTAAATAATTTGGTAACTAAATCATTAATAAAGTAAAATTCATAACCTGACATATTAAGTACTAATAGAGGTGTTTAATGCTGAAAGGTGTAGGCTGATGGTCTGGAAAGTATTGTCTCTATTCTTCTTTTGTGCATATCGAACTGCCAAATTGTTCAGACAAATTAGTTTTTTCTTTCATCAGTCTTTAAAGCATAAGACATAGGCAGTTTATAAAGACAGAACATAAACTTTCTTAGACTTCTGTTCTAGTGAAGCCAAATTCTACATTCTTATGTACTGTTGTGCTATATAATATCAAGGCAGTTTTGCTGAAGTCACATACAGCACTGAAATTCTCTCTCCTATTTTTCTTCTATTAATAGAAGAAACTTTTTGAGCAGCACATAGTATTTGGGAGTTGCTCTTGATCAGATAGTAGAATAATGACTGCATTCTGAGATCATTGTGAAAAACTTTTTCTCCTGTCCATTTTGGTCATAAAAAAGGTAATGTGGTGTTGTGAAAATAAATTACTTTTTGCAGATTTCAAGCATTATAAATTTCTGTGAGTGATAGCCACTCCTCTAAAATATCAGAGGGATTCAAAGTTTTAAAAACAGATTATGTAAATACTAAGTCCAACCTGATAACTATTTTATTAATCAGTAGGGTATCTTAAATGGCTGTTGGATTCAGATTTTTTACTTCAGTAGATCTATATCAAGTGGCTTCGTGTGAGAATTTATTTTCTTTATTTTTCTTTTGTACGTCAAGTTAGAATATTGGATTTGGAAAGTGGTTTGGGGGCAGTTGCATGATTTTTTTCACGAAGTGTTTCTAAAAGCTCTTTTATAGAAAATTAAAATGTAATTGTGCACATATTATTGAGAAAATAATTGAGGTAATCAGTATGTAACAGAGTTCAAGATGGAACTAGAATCTATAAATCAAGAGTTTAACTGATTAAAAGGATTTATTTGTTCTCTAATGCCACTGCTAGGAAGGTTAATTATTAAATACTTAGAGTGAACAAATCACCAAACTTTTTTTAAATTGAATGTAGCAACAAATTTCAAAACCTTTGATTTATTAAGAGGCATGAGATTGAATTCTGAGCTCTTTAATTAAAATTACTTTTAATAATATTTTTCCAAGTGAGATGATTCTCTTTGAGGTGTGGACAGTGTTGGTTATGGGGTCTGGGCTCAGTAGCAGAGCTCTAATGGAATATGCATTAAACAGTAGGCAAACAAGAACTGAGCCTGC